CTTTTACAGCTGATTTCATGGACCTTTTTACATACATCCTTTACTATACGTTCCGGATCACAGCCCAACAGTGGCACCATTCTATTACAGGGCCGGTTTTACTAACCCACCCCCCATACCTACCCAAACATATACTTTCTACCAGCCCCACAACGGCACGCCCTCCTTTCCCCTATTTATCACAGCGCCCGTAGTCCACGTGTACTTAAATGCGCTATACAAACTGGATTAAAAAAAAAAAAAAAAAAAAAAAAGCACGTGGCAAATAGATTCTATTTATAGCCTCAAGTATCATGAGATAAACCTGTCATCATTCGATTCTCCACGTCAAAGGAGGGCTCATAGTAACCGTCAGCAGCCAATAATCCCAAGATCATGTAACCAGCCCAAGCATAAATATATCAGCGTAATCATTCTCCGCCAACTGGAATGGCCAACATTTTCATCGATGAGACGTCGGACCGTCTTGCGCTGCGCGCGTCCGGCGAGCCACACCTCAGCGACACCCTCTTCGTTGGAGGCACCGCACAGCCGCTCGCCGGTGGGAGCGTCTCCCTGTTTTTTCAAGGTGAGTGTTTGGCGACATCAACTCAGCCTCGTCTTGTAGGAATGTACTCACCGCCCAGGACTTCTGATCAAGGCACTTCCGCAACTTTCTTTGGCGCCATCTTCCCCTTCGACCTCAACTTTGTTTCTGTGGATCTAGAAGTCCTCGTTGACGACGAGGCCCCAGTAAACATGATTGTCCCTGCGCTCAGTTCCGTCGGTCCTATTTATACTACTCCCACCTTGAAGGACGGGACTCACAACATCACGTTCTCCACACGATCCAGCTTTCTTATTGACTATGTCGTTGTCATGGCTGGAGTAGACACACCCCTCAACAGCCAAACGCTCATCGTTGACGACGCCGATACTGCGCTTCGATATGCAGGAACTTGGACAATAGGGCCGAAAGCACTTATTGGCACCAACTCTTCACGCCTCGCATTCGGCAATGCCACACATCAGACTACCGAGGTCAATGCCACTGCTAAGTTCTCATTTATAGGTCGGTTTTTTCACCCCCAGACATCATCTCACACTGATATTTGTAGACAGGGAATGCCCTCTCCCTCTACGGCCCGTCCAACCCAGGACCTGGTGCAGTAGGTCTGAAATTCATACTTGACGGAGAGGCATCGCCTCTCACTCTCTTTACTCCGCAATCCGTGTCGAACACAAACTTCCGGTGGTACCAGAAAGATTGCGCTCCCGGAAACCATACGCTCGAAGTGCAGGTGGCGCAGAATCCGGGTAGTGGAGTGTTTTCGCTGGACTATATCTTGTACACGCCGACATTTGAATATCTTTCTGGGCAGACAGTAGGGGCAGCCGGCGCTACAAAGACGGCGAGCTTGGCCGAGCCATCACGTACAGCGGCTCCCTCGGTCCCACCGCAGGCTGCGAGCCGCTCCTCACGGCAAGGTGTAATCATTGGCGCAGTCGTAGGTGGAGCATTCGGAGTAGCGCTTTTGATCGGGTTTTTAGTCCTTGGGTGTCGGAAACGAGTGCGCAAGAGTAGCAGTTCGGAGAAGAGAGGTACGTCATGAGACCTGCACATGATATTTTGAAGTACTCACATGCATTTCCCTAGTCGACAACCCCTTTAAGTCGGTTCTTCCACCTTATACCGAAGGCACCGGCGGAAGCACACGTCTGGCGGCTGAAGGCTTCGTTTACCACAAGCCTACAATTTCTAACCAAGCTGTATACATACAGTCTACTTTCGGCGACCAGGGACCTGCACCTTCAAGATCCTCAGCGCCAAACTTGGCCGGTACGTCTTATCTTCGCAATCAGCCTCCTAAAATAATAAGCCAACCTCGAAACGATCGATGTTTTTCCAGAAAAACAAGACAGCGTCAATCATAAGCCTAGTACACAAACGCAGTTCCGGGCCATCAACTCTAGTACCATGGACATAGACGTCAGAGCTGCGACATCGAATCCCCGTGTGCATGAGCTGGTAGCTGAACTACAGCGGGAGCTCGGTGGTACTCAAGGGCAGGGCTTGGCGCTGAGAGGCTTGGTGGTTCACCGGGAGGGAGAGGACTTGTCACACATGGAGTCAAGCACTACATGGGATTCAGGGAGGGCACTGGCGTCGAGCATCCCGCCACCATACGAACCGCGCCGTTAGGTCCGAAATGGCGCTTGTTTATTGATATTAGCTGGTGGAGCTGAAAGGGTGGATGCTTGCTGAATATACTGTTGGTTACGAATATAAGAACGTTTGAACTGTAAATCTTAGAGATCATATCATTTTCAAAAATCGACATTGCCCACTACGGCAGAGTATCGAGTCAGGCGGCCTTGTTATCGCGTCAGGGAAGTAATCTTGAACGCACCGAAGCCCAGTTTGGCATTTCAACGACTTTGCCACTGCTGCCTTGGGCCATATTCGGATTCGATTCAGCTTGAAGAAATCGAGGTATTAGCAGCCAGGCAAGGGTAATACATATTCTATACTGAATCTGGGTTTCGTGTTGATGTAGAGGCTATCAATATCGACAAGGCTGGACCGAAGAATCCTGCCTCTCTGACCCCGAGCCACATTTAGTATTTCAATTAATATACCATCTTGAAAAATCGACTTCTAATTGCCGTCCTAAGCCGTGACCTCTATCTCTTTACCGAGAATCTCTTCTGAGAAAGAGGAATCCGAATACCCCACATGCGCGTTGTCGCTTTCTGCGGGCACAAAGAACGTCTTGCGGTCATATGGCCTCAATTTAGCGCCATTCTTCAACTTCTGAGGGTGATCTGGCTGTACGGAGATCCATCAGAGCTTGCACGCCATGAAAAGAAGATGGACTTGCGTTCGAGGTGTAAAAACGCCCAAAAGCAACCAAATTCCACTCATCCTTTCTCGTCGCCTCGAGTGCACTCTCTTTTGTATGCCCGCCGGCAGAGATGTATGGCTTCCCGGCCCAGATCTTGCGTATGAAGTCGTTCGACTCATGAGGGGCGTAGTCGCAATCAGAGTCACCGCTTGCGCGGGGCTCGATAACATGAATATAAGCCAAGTCTGGGTGGTTGGTGCGCAAAGAAGTCACTAGATGCGTGAATTGCGGCACGGGGTCAGCCATGCCCATTCCTGCATGAAGAAAAGGAATCAGGGGCAGATTAGAGATTCGGGGAGATGAATTTCGTACCTTGAAACTTGCTCCAAGGGCTCAAGCGCAATGCTGTGCGCTCTGGACCAATTGCACGCGCAACAGCATCCACTATCTCCAGGAAAAACCTACTACGCCCCTCGAGGCTTCCCCCATACCCATCCTTGCGATCGTTCGCTGTATCCTGCAAGAACTGATCCAGGAGGAAGCCATTGGCACCGTGGAGCTCGACACCATCAAAACCTGCACGGTACACAGCATTTTTCGCACCCTGTGCGAAGAGAGCAATGAACTGCGCGATTTCATCTATTGTTAACGGATGGGGAAGAATAGCTGTTTGCGACGAGATTGGGGCGGAGGAGGGACCAACGAGGGGAAGAGGGGGGTTATGTGACCCAAGAATTGAAGGATCAGCAACTCGGCCAAGAGCACAAATTTGGAGGAAAACAGATGATCCTTTGGAATGGATGGTGTCCGTTATCTCGGGATTTATTAGTAGAGTGGAGAAAATTTATGTCAAATACATACCTCTTTCCATGCATTAATCTGCTCGTCGCTCCAGATACCAGGAACATTGTCGTATCCCCCAGCTTCCGGCGCGACAAGTGTGCCCTCTGTAATGAGAAGGGTGCCTGGGACGCGCGCGCGCTGGCCATAGTACTCCTTCATGAGAGACGCTACGGGAACATGTGTTGATTTAGTCGATCGCAAGCGTGTCATTGGCGCGAAGACGACGCGGTGAGAGAGCTTCACCCTTCCGACCTGGATGGGCTGGAAAAGCTGCGGAATGATGGTAGAAGGCATGATAGTACTGGATCGATGGGTATTGTATTCGTAGTGATAGAATGACCATACATCTTGGGATCTCTTTTAACGGAATACTGATACCGCTGAGAACTAACATTAGCAATCTAAAAGCACGCAAGAGGGTCATTGCGCTGGTGCCAAACCTGTATTGGTAAGATTAGCTGAATAATAATGTCATAGTGTAATCTTACAAAGAGTGGAAGCCGACCATAGTACAGCGTTTGTAGCAAAAAAAACCTGCCAAGCAATATCCAAGAATCACTTTGGTAGTTTGATTTCACCACAAGATGGGGCTTCACTTTCATCGTACGCGAAGACAGAGAGCGAGTCGGAAGAGATCAGATTCACCTCGAGCTCGGATATAGCCGACGAGCGACTATGCGACCCAAACCCTCTCTAGAATTTCACCCAGCCTCAAGCCTGTCCCCAAGTCGGCGAGACCGTGCGTAAAAAACTGAGCTGCCCGAAAAACCAGAGTGACCTGATCTGCACCGCGCCGCGAAAGGATATTCTGTATGTCTCATTTTGCTCTCGCTGGATGTATGGAGGGTATCACGTTTATAAGTCGTCAAATCACTCCATTTTTCAATATCAGCAGAGGATCCAGTTGCGCGGCGAGCGCCAGCATGCAGTCAAAAGCTCCACACTGTAAAGAAGCACCCGAAAGCGACCATCCCCGAGTCATCGAGCCCGGTCTCGAGAACTTGCTGGGAGGGACGAATGGTTTCCCTCGCATGGATGAAGCCATTTGACTCGTGTTAAGGACCGGTCATACGCGCCATAATGACCCGAGGCCAGGGTGAGGTGAGTACGTTGGTATTGCGTCGCCCGTGTCTATACGAAGAAATATGTTTTAGAATGAAACCCGACGGCAAATTGAAAATTCGTACCTAGAAACTTGCTTGACAGGCTCAAGCACGCCGCATTCCTTCCCGGTCCAAGGAAGCTCGGAGCGACATCGACAACATCAAGCACAAATCTACTGCGTTCCTCCTCACTCCCTCTATACCCATCACATGCCAGCAACGCAAAAAGCGACAGGCCCGAGACTCGAACTCGGAATCTTCAGCTTTGAGTAATCATACCGGAAACTGACGCGTTAACCATTACGCTAACCCGCCGTTAGATGTGCGATCTGCGTGGCGCACATTGATCGCTGTCTCGTATGACCTAGGAATGCCTTGAGGAGGTGCTGGGTTGGATGGTCAAAACTCGATGAGCGATGAACCAAATTTTTAAACTGTCCAATGTCACGGTGACCAACGGGCACGACAATGACGGTAGATATGCACGGAAAATGTTCAGAGTTTTCTGGGTCGTTAATGTCCTGAGATGCACGGACGAAGACCGTGTGCATGGTTAAGCACAGGAGTGGCAAAAAGGACGAGGAATGGGGAATTATACGCAATGTCCAATTCAAGTGGAAGCTTCAAGCTTGAGGCAGAGAAAACGCTGAACGTGTCGGTCACATGGTCCTTATTGTCGACACACTCTGTAGCTCAGTAAGTATATGCCAACATGCCTACATCATGGTCGACTCAATAATCACACCGAGATAGCCAAATGCAACTCACCGACACCCTCCAAGACCAAGCTGAGTGCGGCAGATGACATAAGATCATTGTTCGGGTTGGGAAACCAAGTCTATCGTGAGTCTGAGTAAAGCCTTGGATGATGAACAAGGGAGAGAACTCGCCAAGGCTTGCAAACCGAAGAAGGGACTAGCGTCCTTGGGCGTGTGCTCCTACTTCGCTATTGCCTGGCTATTTGAACAATATACCGTTTGCTCTATACTTGCCGCAAAAGCCGCTCAGGTCCTTGGATTCTGACGCATTGGTGGGGACAAGGTTCAGCCGGCTGTAAAAATTGCCGGTGCGCTTGACAGGGTGTGCAATCACGGCGGTGAGTGGTGAACGATGGGCATCAGTGGAAAAATCAAGATACTGTTCGGGGTGGTGACGTAGCAGTTCTGGGGCGCACGAACGAAGGCAAAGGGAACGGGTAAGCATGGTGGTGGCAAAATGGAGGGATAGGGAAGGCATTTGTAAAAGGCCAAGTGATGGACCAGAGCGGTTGGGAGGGTGTTAGTTGTGGCAGGGATGGTGGTGGTCCGCGTTGGCGCAAGTCGATGGCATGGGCACTCGTTGAGCGCCATAATGATCGAAGGCAGGCATTCGTGTTCGATGGTTGGTTTAGACTTGAAAACCACCTCCAGATTGAGCAATGATGTATAGGGCAGCATGCGAGGCATTGCTATAGGTGATGGATCCGAGGCGAACTAAGCATAAATAGGTCATGATGTTCCTGGGTTGGCGGAAGGGCGGCGAAAGGCGCTGGCAGTGGTGTCGGCTCTGTAAGGCATCGGGGTCCAGGTGAGAAGTGGATAGCCGGTGTCTCATTGAGCTGCAGCTTGGATCGAACGAGTCTCCATCGAAGGAGTAGGTCATTCTCGCGCTGAGTTACGCTAGGAAAAGTTATACAGTGACCTTGATACCATACGATTGGGGCGGTCTGCGATATTCGACATGTTAGATGCTATACCTGCACCAGGTAATACTGATCGACCTGGGGTAGGAGGTTTGGGTGATGCGCTGACCTAGACAGGATGAAACGGAGAGAGACATATTAGGGAAGGGTGGGCATAGGCTCATATGCAGGTATGCACGTCAAAGCCCGCGCTCGCCGACAGCGTTTAGATCCCATATCTGAGGCGGCTAAGATGTACAGAAAAGGAAAAGGTGAGAAAGAATCGAGGATCCGATGGTCGCAGCGCTGTCGAGTCTGTTGGTATTTGAAGCTGAGTCACGGAGAGTCACCGTGGTGGTACTTTTCCTTGGAGCACGTGAGTGAGGGTGCGGATTGACGGGCCGGAACGCTCAGCCTGAGTCAGAGCAAATGTTTGCCAGCTGAGCATTCCAATATTCCAGGCGCGTGAATCTAATCTAATCCATATACGTGGCCTTTTAATAACGTGCAGCAGTATAAGAGAATCAAATGCACCCGTGTTTGCGGCTCAGAGTTGCTGAGCGTGATGAGTGCGTCAACGCATTTTACATAGCATATCTCATGCACAAAAGTGACGATAAGAAAGATGGCTGAGATTTCATAATTAGATTCAAGAGATCAAATCATTCCTATTTCCTACTCTACAATCCCGCGCACTTATGTTTTTTTCCTGTCTGCCCATAATTCATACAGGAATAAACTTCCAAATCTGGTTCCGGGGGAAGAAGGGAGGATCGGACGGCCCAACAATGAGATGGCGCGATTGGACCTGTTTATGCTCGTCAGGTTCTTACCCCGGGCGACTACAGAAAACTCTAGTATCATACCTGCGGGTCATCGTGGGGCAGAACCCAACCAACTCCCGGGCGTTTTGCGTCCTCGATCCTAGAGGTACAAGGTTTTAGTATCGCAGAAGACGCTGGAAGTACCCAATACTCACGTATAACCCTCTGCACCCTCGCGTTGGGTGATGGTCCATTGGTCATTGCCGCCTTCGTCGCCAAAGACTTTCCCACCCTCGGAGATGGCTATCAGTGAATTGTCGACGACTAGTCTGTATAGGTGTCCCTCAATGTGTCCAACGGCCCACTATATATATATAAAGGATTTCGTCGAATTCACTTGACTGCTCCAGAAGAATTTCTGCATGAGAGATGAACGAACCACACTTTTCGTGTCTTCGACGTCCGAGGGAGCACGTAGAATGGCCCAACGGGTGGAGGTCGAGGCAAGAGGGGCAAGTCCGACCTTGCTTTCGTCCGCCTTGTTGACGATGAAGTAGTGGCCGGGCTCCAAGATGCCCATTATGTTGTTGTATGGTGCGCTGGAATAGAGCTGGTACTGAATGTCAAGGTAAGGTGAGACGGGGAGTTGGAAGATAAGGAGTACATAGCTTTATATGTGGCCCTGATTCAAATTTGCGCCATTACGCTGGGAACGAATCCATCGACTCCATGATCAGCCAGAAAGAAATAATGCCACAGAGAAGCTCGATGTCAGAATCAAGGACAGCGAAAATGTTCAGGATAGGTCAATTGACATTCTACCTGTCAAAAGATAGGTCAGTTGTCACTGCAACTGTCAAAACTTCTGAAACGACGAAGCTGATGTGGGAAAGTGGGGGACGAACCTTGAGCTTCTCATTTGATCATTTGGATCTTGCAGTCTCTCATTTGGTTTGGTAAAAATATGCAAGCGTATCTTGAAAAGAAACCACCAATTCCGATGGCGAGCGCACCAATAGCTTTTCGTGCCAGCTTACACAGTACCCTCAAAAAAGAGGGTCCTGTCACTGGTCAGCAGGTCGCACCGAGTACCCACAATGAACCACATTGACGCCATGATATCGTACAGGTGACCGAAGACTCAGAAGCGCAGGCCTATGCCGAAATCCCCAGATAGAGTGAGATGGTCATGAAAATGGGTCGCAGGTACTCTTTCGAGAAGTCCTAACGATTAGTATTCAGTACTCTACAGTAAGCGCATACAGACGATCGTCGATGAGTGGAACTTCGAGCTTCAAGCGGTCAACATCGCGAGGCGCACACCGTCTATCAAGTTCAAGCGAATTTGGGGCGATCAGGATCTGCACATCACACGAATATCAGCGTGACGAATGGGTCTATTGCATTGGATAGTACTTGATTGATGTTTGCACTACCACCACTCCATATCTGCGCCCACCCTCAGCTTCCCCGCCCGCGTAACCTTTGCCCTCGCAGTCCCCGTCTTTAGTCCCCCCACCTGCAGAATTCTCCCCCTTGACACTCCTGCCCGTGTCATCCAATGTGTTATCCCTATCCTCATCCTGTATGCCCTCCCCAACAGCCTGTTCGTCTGCAACCGTTGGCCCTTGTTCTTCGGCTTGACGGCCCGCACAATCGAGTATATGGCCAGCACGACGACGAATGATGCTACGAAGCTGATGACGGCGCGCATCCGGCATGTAAGGGGTCGGGAGGCGGCGTATACCTCTGTCTTTCCACCTGTGGGTTGGTTGTTGGGTTGAGGTTAGGCTTTGTGTTACGAGGTTAGCATGGACGTACCACATTTCCTATATACATCGGACACTGACAAAATTGGCGCGCTATGGCGAGGAGACGTTCTTTGATTAGTTAGCACCGCTGCATGAGACAAAATAAATGCCAAGACACACCGTTATGCAACTCCAGCACTGGAGTCGGCACACTCAAACATCGAGAATTCAAGGATTAGGACGGCCATTGAAACATCGATGACGAGCCCAGTCGGTACGACATCACTAGATCTAGAATTTGACGGGCCACTGGTACTACCCATCTGCTTTGCCTGCAAGGTCTTCGATGTGGAGGTGGCGCTTAGCGGCACGTCGACCACGTCGAAGGACGGCATGCATGGAATTCAATTCAGTATGAGCGACATCTGCGCTGCGAGACTGAGCACTTCTAGCTGTCGCATTCAGGAAGTCTGTCCTGATAAAGGAAAGGACAGTTGGAGAGTGAGGCCAAAGAACGTGAGGGAGAGCGTGGTTGCGGTCTAGGCCGCATATCGATCGACAAGCTCCCGCCACAGGGGATTTGTGGAGAAAAGGGGGCTGACAAAGTTAAAGTGAGGACTGTCCCTAACAGGCTTACACTGCTGTAAAATGAGGGGAAGAAGAAACGGTAGCTCATCTCATTCTTGCCGCACCACGCTCGCCGGGGGTAAGAGCGCAAGCCCCTCAACCCCCGCTTCGCTGATCACGAGACTGACCACGAGCCTAGCAGCCTGCACCTCAGTGACCTCACACACACTAGCCGCACACTGCAAAGAGTCAAGACCCTGTCACGAGCTCCTTGCTCTCCATGCTATGCGCCAATGCCGACATACCGCCATCCGTAGCGCTAGGAAGTCGCCTCAAACGTATCCGCCGGCGTCCGCAGTGTCAACACCTACAACGACCCGTCTTGCAGGCCATATACCATATGCGCGTGTGTCCTGCCCGGGTCCTCCACACTGACACGACGAGTCAAGCGCCATCGACGGGACCGGGGGAAGCGCACAGGGCCGTCGAGGGAGACGGAGCGGATGTTCGTGCTGCGCCTGAGGACGGCGATGGCTGTGATGAGGCGCATGTAGCATATGCCCACGGAGAACG